ACATGTACAATAAGGCTTGTTATGATAGATAGCTTTAATGATTGGAGAGGGAGGGCCTAGAGAAGGAATGCAAACCAAAAGGAACTTCAAAAGAAAACAGCCTTGAGCAAAACAGTATACAAGGCTCGTGTTCCCTTTGAGTACGAGTCCAGAAGACGTAGGTCTAAGTTACTGGCTACAGTTCAGATAAGTTACTTGGTTGAGCCTGCTCTGTGTTAGGATAGTGGAAAGTTAAGATAAGAGGAAATGCTGAAGGCTACCGGTGCACAGGAAGAGGGGAACAAAAGTAACAAGAATGTGCTGAATGTGATATAGATGAATATCCCTAACAACTGTTTAGCAACAACAAGGGGCACCAGAGGTCAAAGTATGGGGGGGAAATAAAGTGCTATATAGGCTATATCAGAGTATGTAAAGCAATTAAACAGTAAACAGGGGCAGGATCATAAAATGGGAGGGAAGAAGGTGGGAGAAGGGAGGAAACAAAGTAAGGTATATGTTAATCAAGCGTAATAAAAGATTGTTAAAAAAGATACTCTAGGTCACTCCAGTTCTAAGTGTCCCAAGTGCTGTCATGCAATAAACCACAGCTTTGATAATCCAATAAGTGTATCAGTTTGCTGCTATCCAGTCGTTAGGCATCACATAAAGTCAGGATCTAACACTCTAGAAGCACCACGGCTTGTTGGCAGTGTCCCCAAAACATGGCTCTCCCACTTCCAGGAAGAAGGGACCATATATATTCCTGTCGTGATCTCATCACTAAGTTCCCACCCCAAACCAGTATCCTCAGACCATGGCTGCCACTGGTTGGTCAGTTTTAAAAACATCACCAACCTCAGGTGAGGGTTGAGGTTTACACAGGACACAGTGAAGAGTGAGCTCTCCCCTCCCTCAGGAATGTCTCCAGCCAGGTCACAGCTCAGTGGTAGATGAAACAGATGCGGGGGGGACTGCCTGCTTACAGCAGTGGGGCAGACTGGGAGATGGGGGTGATTTCTCCACATGCCTCATCTGGAGTACTGTGGGCAGTTTTGGGCCCCAAATTTTAGAAAGAATTTGGAGAAAGTAGAGAGGGTCCAGAGGCAGGTGAGAAACATATTCAAGGATTTGGAAAAAAAGTCATATGAGGAGAGCTTGAAGGAGCTAAGCAAGTTTAGCTTGTGCAGAAGTCACTTTAGAATGCCAGGAGTATGGGGAATAAGCAGGAGGAGCTCACACTCCTACTTGCTAGCACACAGCATGACCTAGTCGGCTTAACTGAAACATGGTGGGCCTCTATGCATGACTGGGCGGTAGGCATTGTGGGGTACAGGTTGTATAGATGTGACAGAGTGGAAAAAAAAGTGGGCGTGTAGCTCTCTATGTTAAGGAGCAGTACACATCTTCCATCATCGAGGCAGGGGTGGAGGAGGATAATACCAAGGCATTGTGGGTCAGGATCCCGGGAGGGCCAGGGGAAAAGGACTTGGTAGTGGGGGTCTACTACACACCTCCTCACCAGGATGACAAGCTAGAAGATGTATTTTCCAGGCAGCTCTCAGATGCCATACAGGAAAGGGAGGAAGTGGTCATGGGGGATCTAAATTACCCAGACATCTGCTGGGAGGAAGAGATGGCCAAAACAAGCCACTCATGGAGGTTCTTACACTGTGTGCAGGACATCCACCTAACCCAGGTGATATCCAGTCCCACCCGGGGTAGCTCCTTTTTAGATCTGGTCTTAGCAGCAGGGGATGATCTCGTGGGGAACCTGTGAGTACACAGTAACCTGGGAAATAGTGACCATCACTTGACAGAGTTCACTATCCAGTGAAGGTTGAGAAAAATATGCAGTGAGGCTAAAGTGTTAGACTTCAGAAGGGCCAGCTTTAGTAAACTTAGAAGGCTAGTTAGTGAGGTGGCAGAACTCAAGAGCATCAAGCAAATGGGGATCCAGGGGGGCTGGAGGTTTCTTAAGGGAGTGATCCTTGGGGCACAAAAGGAGTCTATCCCCTTATGTAGAAAGGGGGTAAGGGGATAAAAAAGGCCCCCTTGGCTGAACAGTGAGCTCCAAGAAAGACTGGGGGCAAAGAAAGAGATTTATAGGCAGTGGAAGCAGGGGACAGCCACCAAGGAGGCACACACTTCCCTGGCGCGCAATTGCAGGGAGTCAGTTAGGCTGGCCAAGGCAGGACTGGAGCTTAGGCTGGCTTCAACTATTAAGGACAATAAAAAGTCCTTCTACAGATACATAGCGAGCAAAAGGAAAGCACAGAGTAATGTAGGGCCTCTGCAGCACAAATCAGGTCAGTTGGTGGTTGAGCCAGGGAAAAAGGCAGAACTCTTCAATGAGTTCTTTGCTTCAGTATTCCTAAGTACTGACCAAGACAATTCCCCAACCTTGAGCATAGACAGAGGTCCAAAAGGCCCCAGATCACCAAAGGTTAGTGTTGACTTAGTTTAGGAGCACTTGGAAGGGCTGGATGTGTACAAGTTACCTGACCCAGATGACCTCCATCCATGGGTGCTGAAGGAATTGGCCAGTGTCATAGCTGAGCCACTGTTTGAGTGCTCATGGTGCTCTGGCCAGGTCCCTGAAGACTGTAAAAGGACCAACATGGTGCCCAATTTTAGAAGGGGAGAAGGGATGAGTCGGGTAACTTAGGCCAGTCAATCTTACCTCTTCCCCTGGGAAAATACTAGAAAAAGTCATCAAAGAGCACATTTGTGAAAGCCCAGCAGGGGAAATGATGCTGAAAGGAAACCAGCAGGCAAGCCAGAATCTGGAATGGGCTTCCAAGAGAGGTAGTACTATCACCTAACTTGGAGGTCTTCAAGAGGAGGCTTGACAGTCACCTGGCTGGGGTCATGTGACCTGGGTCCTCATTCCTGCCAGGGGCAGGGGGTCGGACACAATGATCCATTATGGTCCCTTCCAACTCTACAATCTATAAATCTATGAATCTAAGAAGTGACATGATAGCATTCTTCAAACACTTGAAGGGCTGCCATAAAGAAGAGGGAGAACCTCTTTTCATTTTACCTGCAGAGGGATGGATGTTGAACAATGATTTTAAGCTACAGAAAAATAGGTTTAGACTGGAGATCAGAAAAACTCCTCCACTCTTAAAATAGTGAGGCCTTGCAACAGAGTGCCTAGGGAAGTTGTGGACTCTCCACCACTGGAGTTTTTAAGAAGAGTTTGGGCAGTCACTGGTCATGTGTGATCTAGGTGTAGCTATGCCTATTTTTTTGGTTGATTGCTGCAAGGGGTTTGAAGGGAATACTGCCCCTGTGCTCCCCTCCCTTTTCTGATACAAGTGTCAGGCTTCTTTATTCTTTTAATTTATTTTTGTTTCTTCTTACTATTTTTATTCCTTCCTCAGAGGCATTAGGTGTTAGCTGCAGCCTAGGCTGGGGATTTTGACTGGTCTGGGCCAATGTTCCTGCTAGGACTTAAAGTCAAAATTTCCTGGCTAGATGATCTTCCCTCTGTTCAGGGACCAATCAGTCACCATATTTGGGCTCAGAAAGGAATTTTATCTCCTGCTAAGATTGGTATGGAGTGTGGGGGTTATGCCTTCCTCTGTAGTGGGGGGCACAGCCTTTTCCTGGGATCTCTTGAACATATACTAACAACCTTTTACAGAAGAAGGATGTTGGCTGCCATGATCCCCCTGCTTTACCTGTGGCAGGGTCAGGTGTGGTGTCTTGTGTTATGTCAGGGTTGATGGTCATCTTACTAAGAGGGTAGACAATGGATTTGTATAGGAGGGTTTGGATAGGGATATTTCTGCCTCAGGCAGGGGATTGGACTAAATGACCTCTCAATGTTCCTTCTGTGAACAAAAATCAGTTTACTCTCTGGAATTTGGGATTTGCTAACTATTAGCATTTCAAAACCTTTTCCTGGACAGTTGTTCCAATAGTGTTTTCCCTCGTTGGGAATGCCTTTTTCTTTGTCTGGATTTATTTAGTGTAGTTATCAGCCATTTAGCTGCAATCATACTCTGCTTTTATTTGCTATGTTAAATTCTGTTTTGCTTCTTGCATTTTTTTACTCTAGGGAGGCAGTGGAAAATTGTAACAAATTCCGAAGGAAGTGCAACTCTTTCTTTCTGGAGTGTGTCAGCAGTTACTGCTTTGGGGGTAGAAACCCTCCACCTGCAAAGGTCATTGAACAACTGATCAAGTTTGTAGCCTGCAAGCCCTCAAACTCAGAACACACAGAGTCAACGTGTGGTAAGTACAGTCTCACCAGTCCCACCCATTCAAATATCACAGGTAAGATTCTTGAAAACCTGAGTTCAAAAACAAATTCTGGGTGCTTTTTATTTGCCCTTGCTGTGGAAGCATTTGTATTTCCTTTTTTTTTTATGGTTTTCACCCCAACCATAAGTACTAGGAACTTAGCAGGGAAAAGAATTCTAGGCCTCTTGCCCTTGCCCCCTGGAACTTCTTTCCCCTGCAGCCCCTTTCTCCTCTCGTTATTGTCAAAACCTGATCTCCTTAAGCCCATGGGGGTGAGAACCATATTGGAAAAAATGGCATATTTGAAAAAAAATGTAGCCATAGTATTTTGCATATAGTACCCATAGACATAGTTCACCCAGAATTGATGTGTTTCACCTTTTTTGAAACTGCTGCCAATTTTAGCACATGTACTCCCTAAACACACTATTAAACAGCACTTTGGCATTTATATAGTACAAATTATGCATGATATTAGTCCAAAGCAAAAAGGCTCAGGGTTTACTTTAGAATTCATTGGGCTGGGCACCAGCAGAGTCAACAGTATTTCAAGCCACAACTCAACACCTCTCCGTATGTGTATGTGCTCCAGATACTCCCCACAAAGAAGCCGTGTGCTAATTAGGCCCCACTTACGACTAGAATCGGGTGCTTTTGTCATGAGTCCTTGGATCCTCCAAAAATTTGTATGCAGGTGAGGTGCATGGCAACTTGGTCCAGCTTCACCTCATAGGGTGCATTTCCACATGCAGACCCAAATGATTCCAGGGGCACAAAGTGCTACTGCTTTGTGCCCCAGGGCACACCTCTGCACATGTGTTCTGGCATGTGCCAAATTGTCCTGATTGGGGTTGAGGAGGATGAAGCCAGCACAGGTGCTGGTCCCAGCAGCCTTACTTGGAGTCCTGAGTGCCTCATGGGGCAGGAGAGGTGCTGATTCAGCTGCATGGAGCCTGAAGGTGGGAGTGAAGGGGAAGGCAAAATGTGTTTTTAGGGTAGTGGCTCACCATGACTTGACAGAAAGATGGCACTGAGGGGGACTGACCATAATATGCACTAACATACATTCTATTCTTCTAGGTTTCACTAATCTATCCACGTTGTAGGTTCCCATCAGCATGTTTTCTCCATATGGGCCCTACATTTTATAATCATGCTCAGCATTAGCTTTATTTAATTAACTTCCCGGTTGGTTTCCATTGCTGAGCACATACAATTTAGCAGCAGTTTAATGATAGACCACATATTAATGAGGTTTCCTTATATGTGACTGTAGAATGAGGAGCTTTTTCTCAGTGCTGACCAGTGGAAAAAACCTTATCTTATATCCAGGTATATGGGGTGCTATTTACAAAGTGCCTACTTCTTACTCAAGCACCTTGGTTCTGATGCAGCCCCTTGTTTGCTTAAATTATATGCAGGTTATATACTCAGCACTTTTTGCTTTTTATATGGAATTGGTTGCAGGGCTGAGATCTGTTTCACTTATACCATGCAATTTGCCAACAGAGGGATTTGAATAGTTTCAAATGCCTGAAGGATGTTTACAGTATAGCTGGAGATGGACAATTCTCTGTGGTCACAGGGGATAGAAGTAGGAGCAATGGCCTCAAGCTGCCTCAGGGGAAATGTAGTTTGGAGATTAGGAGGAACTGTCTGACTCTCAGGGTGGTCAAGCATTGAAACAGGCTGCCTTGAGAAACTTATCTCCATCCTTGGAAGTTTTCAAGAGCAGGTTAGACAAACGCTTGGCTGAGATGCTTCAGTCAGGGACAATCCTGCCTTGAGCAGAGGGTGAGATTAGATGACCTCCTGAAGTTCCTTCCAGCACTGCTTTCCTATGATAGTTCCCCCCACCCCGGCCCTCCAGCCTCAGACTGTAGGCAGGCAGGTACATGAGCAATGAGTAGGATCAGTCTACATGTGTACATTAAGATATCCATCCATCTGGGGAAGACTGAAAACTCCCCGGTACATGGCTAGAAAACTCCCATTTAGTTGTGCAAA